TCATCCATAAAAATTTTTATGGATAAAAATAAAAAATATGAAAATCTTCTGATATTTCTGATCAAGATCAACAAAAAAGCTGAGATGACAACGATGCTTTGCAAAAAGAAACACCCTCGTTTAAATAAAATTAATATTAATGTGTAATACAGTACTTTTAATTTTGATTGTTAATTAATTATTAATTGGAAATAAATTATCAACTGCTTCCATAAACACATTTCTCTTAGTAATGAAAAAAGAATAGTATACTTTTGCTAACTTCTGGAATGTAACCCCATGTTTTGCATTAGTCCTTCATTTCATATAGAATAGATTTGCATAACACGACACTTTCATAATGTAACTACCATCTTATACTGCAGTGTTTCTCAACAGGGGCGATATCGCCCTCATGTGGGCATTTTTCCATGTTGAGGGGGGCGATTAGTAACAATTTATATTTTGGGGGCGAAAAACAATTTTCTGGACGATATAGTAAAGCATTATATTAAGAATAATTAGATATTTTATTCGTTATATCGTACAATAATTAAACAAATAACGTTATACTAGTCACTAGTCTATTCAATGCAGTACGAATTTGGCGTTAGTCTTGGTCCTGGCATCGGAATTTTGAAGTGAAGGGGGCGATAATAGGTAATGGTTTTATTGAAGGGGCGATACTACGTTGAAGGGGGCAATGATTCTTTAGAGGTTGAGAAACACTGTTATACTGTTATATTGCATTTAAGATATACTGTAATACTGTATAATTATAAATATAAATATGTTTCACATTTTTGACTCATTTCAATTTTATTTCTGTTAGATAATTGAATGAATTTCACAATATATTCTCTTACTGTAATCAAATTTCATATAAAATAAAGGAAAAATATCTAAATACCATATCCATAATTAACAATTGTTCTAATTTTGTCAATAAATTATAATTGCACAACTTCATATACTTGTTTATAGCAGAAAAAAGGGATATAAATTATTCAAATTTATAATATTGTATTTTTATAAACACTATTAATTATTCAAATAAGAATCTAGTATATATTGATTTTATAGCATCAATATATTGACTTTGTAAAAAAGAAATACAGAATCTTCTTTTTACAAAAATAATGAAAATAAATAAAAGAAACCCATCTATCCTTGGAATACATCTCATATTATATATAATAATCTCAAAATTTACTTATAAAAATAAGTACATTAATAATGATATTCAATATCCAATTATACAATTTTACATTTTACGATTTCCAAAATAATTAAATAACATTTTTTTAAACAATTTTTTATAAAGTATTTATTATATAAAACTAAAAAAATCATATAATTTTTCTGAAAAGTCTTTAGATCATTATGATAACAAATAAAATAACATTTTATATAATGTATAAACCATTAATCAAAGAACATTGGATCACTTTAATGTATTCTAGAAAAAAAGTATTCTAGAAAAAATTTGTAATTTGCTCAGTTTTCAGAATAATATGAAAAAATACCACATGAATATTTATGTTTGTTGGTTTTTAACAATAACTGTTATTTAAGAAATATTTGTAGTGAAGCAATATAGTGTTGTATTTAATTTATCTGCACAGGGAAAAAATTACCATATGCTAGTGGTTTTCCTCTGTAGAGCTTTAATAATTCAACTGTTTTTAACATTTTTTAAAACAACAAATTTCAAAATATTATGATGTAATTTAAATTTTACAAAACTTAGAAAATATATTAACATTATACAACACAGCATAAATAATAAATTTGTAGACTTATAATATTAAATATAAAATGACCGTAAATTTGTTTATAAATACCGTATAAATAAAACGTGCTTCGTTTTAAATGCAAATACAAAAAAAAATACTATAAAGATCTCAAAATAAAATTATTAAAAAATTCAGCAAAAATTTTTAAAAATATATTCAAATACTATTATTTTTTTCCACAAAGTACATATATTCTGTTTTTGTTATTCATTCTAATTATTCTTGATGATATTTATTAATAATTTTTGTTATTTGAATTGTAATTTAAATTTTATAAATTTAAAATAATTCTTTAATCTAGAATTGAAAATAACGCTAATTATTTATTATTATTTTTTTAGTAAATTATATGAACCTAATTTTAATTTGAGTATACAGTTATCATTAATCTTCATTCTCCCACACAAATATAAAACTATTATCTTAGAATTCAAAATTTTATCAAATACAGTTATTCAGTTCTTTTAATTTACTTTTACTTAATAAAAAGTTTATAATTTATATAAAGTAAAATTTTGAACAGCTTACTTCTTAGGCTCTATAATTTAATAATAAAGATTTTATCAAATAAGTCAAACAAAATATAGGGCCTATATAATACAAATATATGACCTTATTTTGAAAATTGATAATTATATAAGTAGGTTTAATAAAACTTTTAAGAATAATAAGAATAAAAATTCCTTATTATATGAATATAGATACTAAATATTAATATATATTATAGTTAAATGTAAATTACTATATATGCAGAGGAGTTTGTGCAGACTTATACTTTGCACAGATTGAATAGTATTATTTATATATTTAAATCGATTAAACATATAAAACATTGATAATATTCTAGAAGATAATTTATAAGTTTCTATATTTAAAACTCTATCAATTTATAGAGAAGAAAAATTTGAAAATTGAATATTTTATATTAAAATTTGACCATCTTAAAAACTAGGAACTTTCTTTTATTACTCATATTATTAAAAAAAAAAAAAAATCTAGAAATGCAATAAGTTTTAATATTTAAAATTCTCACGCTTAAAATTATAGATAAATATATGTTTCAACTATATCAAATATTTTGAAAATAAAACATGTGGAAAAAATGTGATATTATTGCATCATTCCTACAATGCACAATATATATATATATATCAATAAAATATTTTTATTTAAACATAATTGATAACAAACTCAAAATGTAAATATTAGAAGTTTTTATCTGTTGCAAAAATCTATTTTAAATTCAATTGGAATTAGCTAATGTTTATCCTAAAAGTTTCACATAATTATAACCTTAAATATGACCTAAAACACATTCAAGATAGAAAAAAAAAGGAGGAAAAAGAAAAAATATTTAGGTAGTAGAAATTAGATTCATTACATGAAGATAATCTTCAATTTATTTGAAGAAATAAGGCTTAATTTATTCTGCAATAATAATTCTGTTCAAAAATATACATTGCAAAATATATTATTCATTAATGAATAAAATACTGCAGTTACATAATGGGATATTTGAGACATTTTGGATGTTCAAAACTCTTAAGTGTGACGAGAAACGAGGCCAAACGAACTCTTAACTGGATCTACCAGTTCTGCCTAGAGTGGATGACAGAAAACCATTTGCAGTATACAGAACTACATACAGTATAGGAAAAAAAAACAAAGTTCTCCACAGGAGTGGTAACTAGAGAAAAATATTTTTTTACAATAATCTTATAAATGGAAAAAAAATTAAAGTATTCCCACAAAACAAAGGGTATATTGTTTAATGTAGTCCAGTAAACAAAACTAAAAGAAAAAGCGGAGTGAAAATTTTTCAATTAATATAATTAGGGTAGAACTGAAATATACATTAAAATGTCAATAAATAAAATATAACGTAAACATATTTAATTAAAAGTCAATATTTTCATTCCGTTTAAAGACGGAAGTATGTACAATGTTTATGTTCATTTTGTAACAATAATAATAGTAATAGCTGAAAACATTTGCATTCAGAAAGTAACTGCAAACACCTGCGAACACTACGTGACACAGTCATATTATAACTATTATTCGCTAATAAATGTCAATTCTTGACTGTCATTCGTCACGGAAACATTATGAAGGAATTTCACTGTTTAGTGGCATCATTTGTTGATAAATAGCGATACATTTATAAATTTCTTTTGCTTTTTCTTACAATTAATTACTTAAAAACAGAATGAAAAAAATAATTTACGCGTAAAATTATCCGCGTGATATATTTAATCATGATAAAGTTTCAATTACTTTTATCGCAGTGTGAATATCAGTAATTAATTTAAAACGATTTCAAATCTATTTTAATTTGTATAAATATAAAATGCAACGATGAAGGATAACTCGAAATAACATTAAGTTAAATTACTGGAAAAAACTGACCGTCAAAATATTTTCAAAGTCGCTAAGTTGTTTCATCCCCTCCCGTTAGTAGTCTACCCTCCCCAAAAGATGCGACCTCAGCAAGAATGGGTGAGTCCAGTCAGCCTCGGGCCGAAGGTACCACCACAAAGGGAGAGCTGTTGTACTGTCAGACGTGATTAATTCCGGATCTAAAAGGCAGTGCCAGCCAATCAGCTTCTGCCATTCAGCACAACTCCCAGCTGTCAGCTGTGGCTCACTTTTTGCCTCCAAAATTTAAATTTCCTGACGACAGACCACTAGTACGACCTGCCAGACACGTGGCTTTCAGGTGACCCTCCTCCTTAAAACGAAACAGTTCCTCCCACTTTTCCGAAATCTCATCATCAAATCAATGCTTATAACGATGCAGAATACGACGAGTTATTCTAATTTTGAATTACATCAACAAAATCAAGCCTTTAATATAACACAACTTTTACAGTTTTAAAAATTTTGCTGGAAATACATTAATTTACATTTACTCCTTTCGTGAAAAAAAATTAAATGGCACAAATTTTGTAGTAATAATACGTTACAGACCGTTTATAACAGTCCGTAGAGAAAAAAGTGACAGAAACCTCTACAATTGCGTCATTATTAGAAAAGAGAAAGGTGGTCGAGGCATTTTTCCACGTTATATTAATGTATTATGTAGGAAATTCCGTATTTATTAGGTTTTATCCACATGTTAGTATTGTTCGCGAGACGGAAAAATAAGGCGATTAGAGTGTCGAAATATGGGCTTTTAAAAAAGAATATTGTCAAAAATAAGAATGTAAGAATTAGCGAGTGACTTACCTGACTCCTATACATGGTGGCAGGCATTGGCTGAGAATAATTTCCAGGTCCTGCAGTTCGATTTCCCCAAGAATTGCTAGGAGGATATTGAGACGATGCCGGATTGAGATCACTGATTCCACCCTTAGATAAACTCGGATTATTACTATATTCGCTAAAACTATTATGATATCGTTGAGTTGGATTTGGTGACTGTAGTAATAAGTTTAGAGTTGGTGTTGGCCCGCCCTGTTGGCTTATAGTCTGGCCAGACATAATACGTTGTCCTTGATTGGGATTGATAGCGGCCATACCCGGCCTCTGAGGTGGACCCATATTTAAACCACGTGGATTAAATGTTTTCAACTGCTGCTGATTATATTGAGAATAAAGCTTGTTCTGTGTCGCATCCGATGCCGTAGCAGTTGTCTCCTGTCCGCCATGTTGGTCTGCCGTGTAGTTGCCACCACTAACTCTTCGTTCGCAACCAGCATATCCAGTATTTGAGGAATGATTAAAATTCTCCGGCGTATTTCTATAATCTTCATTGCCACCGTCCCTGCTATTCTGATTATAATTAGGAAAATCGGAACTCATTCTCTGCCTATCTATACTCGAAGCGTACATAACCTTCTCGACAACAGCGCTGTTATTCAGCTGATGTGTGCCACCATCTTGAAAGCTATCCATTTTCATTTCTCTCGATTTATTTCCGTTACTATTAGCGGTAGACTTAATAGTGTTTTTCATAGTGACATTACCTGAGGAGTCGTCCGAACTCAAGTCTTCGACGGGCGTACCATTTCGCAGACCTCCGGTATCTTCGGAAGTTTTTTGTTCCTTGCAGTGCGCTGGTACTGCTGCCATGCTGGTGTTATGTCACCACCCAGTGTATAAAATCGTCACCCCGTCCGTATCGATAACAACACATAAAACGGCATCATCGACGATGCACAAGAGGTCACCACGTGCACTGTTGACGGCGATCCCTCACCTCTTATCAACAGCACACACCATTATTTCACCAACTTCCAAACCTGGAACGACTGCGCGCAGTACGGTCACCACCACAGAAAAAAATATCCATTTCTAAATCATTCGCTTTCATAATCCCTAACAATTTCTTTCGTTTACGCTTCGTACATACGCTCTATCCAAACTTTTATAACTTATCGATCCAAATTATTAAATCAACGACACCAATAACTGTACCAGGTAAACGTCACTATGTCGGACCTCTTTCCCGGCATTAGCTACTATCGGCGGACGATTACAAATATCCTGAGCAGTGAAATGCCCCGGTACCGATTTCGTTGTAATCCGGCTCGGCTGTTTTAGGATACCGGCTTTTCCTGCCACGAACCTTGGCTAATAACCTTGCGATTGCAAAATCCACGTTCTTACGTCGCTTACCTTAAATACCTATCGATTAACCGTATTATATACGTTTATAATTAACTCTTTCAATTATGCATAAAAACACCATCGTAAAATTTGTTAAACTAATTTCTATTGGCTTCTATCCATGCTCAATTGACTCGGCGTGCCCTTGCATAATATCTAACAAATCAATGTTTTTTGATGTCGATGACGTAACAATGCATTTCTGTTATATTTGATTAAAGTTTTGGCGGAATGATAAAAGGGGCGGCGCTTAATGTCTTTTTCTGGTCAACTTGACCAAAAAAGGCAAGTGACTCGTTTTTTCATAAAATTCACTCGATCGTCATTACGCCTTTTTTTAAATAAATAAATAAAAAATTATCGAGGAAAGGTTAAATTGTCTCGCTCTTTATTTATTTAAAAACGCTATAAAAAACAACCTTGAAAAAGTTTACNAATCTTTTGTACCATCACATCCTCCAATAGCATAAACTTTATTCGAAACAACAGCAATATTAAATCTTCCACGAGGAATATTCATTGCTTGAAGTAAAGACCATGTATTTTTTTCTAGATCATACAATTCAACAGTTCTCAAGCATTCTACACGATTATATCCACCTTTAAAAATATATATGAGATGATAAACATGATAAATCTTCAAATCTCACTTTTTATTTACTTTATAATACTTACCACACACAAGTAATTTTCCTTCTAATTCAGCTGTTCCACCAGCACATCTTGCAGAACTCATTGGTGGAAGTAAAGAATATGTATCAGCCTTTTCAACTGATGTATTTCTTGAAGTAGGTGGGCTACTACAAGGAGTGTTGAGACGTTGAACAACTGATAAAACAATCAACTTACTAGCTACAACAGCTAAACCAGTAATCACATGTTCTGTAAAGTAATTTATAAATTAAAAAATTGTAATTTTTTATTATTTTTAAAATAAAAAGTAAGATATAAGATAATTAAAAAAATACAAAGCTTACCACCATTTTGAACAGTTGCAATAACTTTCCAATCCTTCTCTTCTCTATTTTCTAGATCAGATGGTGAGCCAATTATAATTTCATCTTTAGTGTATAAAAATTCTGCTGGTTTTGCTGGAATAGGAATGGATTTTTTACTTCCAGCTCTATGCATTGTTGGTGATATCTTACGTGACATTTTCTTATAGTCTTGAATCAATTCAGAATCTTTACTATCACCAGTTTCAATATCACTGCAGTCATGAAGTGTGTGATCCAGATTTAAATACAACATATGAACCTAGAATTTAAAGTTTATCACTTTACAAATAGTCAACAGTAATTAATAAATTTCTATTTTTTTGCCCAGAAGCAGTTGAGTATCATCACACTGCTCTGGGGACCAAAATAGAATCCAAGCAGTCAAGCTCCAAGAATAAGTTGGAAGTCCCATTCCTTGCACTACCTGGACCTCATTGTAACCTGGCTGAACCCATAATAGGCCTGATAAAAAGCCCATGTAATGAAAGGAATAAAAATAAACAATCATTTATAAGTAATTAATAAATTTCAATTACCTTTTCACTTAATCTTGAAATGCTAAAATTTTCTCCAGTTTCAAACATTTGCTTTATCCAATCCAAAACCATGTTACATAAATGTTTGGTATTAGTGGCTTCTATTTCTTTGTTGCTGTTTTGAAGTAATTCTACTTGTACCAATGGCAAAGATCTCAATACCTTACTGTTAACAAGCTTATCCATCTATAAAGAAAACAAATTATTAAATAAAAAATTCCTTATGCCATATAATTTAAAACCAATAAATAGCAATTGTTAAGATAATAAAACTTTACTGCAGTCAAACCTCGATGTAGTGCCTTCCTAAACTGAGCCACCCTCATAAACCCCAATGAATACTCATAAACGAATCTTTCCCATAAATATTAATGGAGAGCCTATCAGTCAGTAACTGTGAGTTACTAAACATACAATTTTATCTCGCAAAAGACATTGTTATGGCAAAATTACTTGACTTTCAAACTCTCCTACTCTCATACTTATGGGTAGACTTCATTACTATACATAACACTGTAGTACTTCAGTTTAACGTCGCATTCGATCTATTACTAATTTCAGAAGCGAAAAAATGATGACACTAAATCGAAATTTGAATGTATATTTGTTAATTAAATTTGTTGGTGTTTACTCTTACAAGATTAATCATTTCTAATAGATGAAAGAATGNTACAGTCGTTATAAATGCAATTTTTGTAACTCAATATTAATATTTATTTCAGTTTTCTTAATTATAATGATAATTTAATCATAATTTTTATTTATATTTATTGTAATATTGTAGAATTGATTAAAGAAAAGAAGAATTTTAAATATAAGTTTTAGTTTAATTTGATTTTTAGAGATCAAACAAACCAAAAATGGCCAACATTCTAAATAATAGATTATATTTTTAAAGAAACTCTACACTGAAGAAATACTGTATAACTTAATTTAGAAAATTTATGAAAGTTACTTTATGGTCTACATTTTATTACACAAATTTTATTAAATACAATTAAATTACTTGAGATAAAATTATCAGCATAATTATTTATTTATAAGTACATTACACGTAACTTATGCAATTAGAAATATTTAATTTTTCTTCAAATTGCAGAAGTTACAAATTATTATTAGCTTATATTTTTATTAATTAAATAAAATCAAATGATAGATACAATTTTGTTAGTGTTTCTTTCGAAATAAATTAATATTTATTTATTAAGACAGAAATTTTTTATGAGATTTCAAAACGTGTACTAAATTAAACGTGAAAACCTTTAAAATAAAACATAACTTTTTATAAATACAATGGAATACAGAATAAATATTATTTTATAAATTTTACACTTTTTCATAGAAACCAATAATTTTAATTAGATTTCAAAAGGAAAAATTATTAAATAAAAAATTCCTTATGCCATATAATTTAAAACCAATAAATAGCAATTGTTAAGATAATAAAACTTTACTGCAGTCAAACCTCGATGTAGTGCCTTCCTAAACTGAGCCACCCTCATAAACCCCAATGAATACTCATAAACGAATCTTTCCCATAAATATTAATGGAGAGCCTATCAGTCAGTAACTGTGAGTTACTAAACATACAATTTTATCTCGCAAAAGACATTGTTATGGCAAAATTACTTGACTTTCAAACTCTCCTACTCTCATACTTATGGGTAGACTTCATTACTATACATAACACTGTAGTACTTCAGTTTAACGTCGCATTCGATCTATTACTAATTTCAGAAGCGAAAAAATGATGACACTAAATCGAAATTTGAATGTATATTTGTTAATTAAATTTGTTGGTGTTTACTCTTACAAGATTAATCATTTCTAATAGATGAAAGAATGTTTTCCATCTTACAATATTTAAATTAGATGTAGTCTATAAAAATTATTATTTTGTCTATTTTAAATTTTTTTTTAAAGTTCAAACTAGGCCTATAATATTAATGTTTAAGTTTTTCCATAATAAAGATTTTAATAAGTAAGAAAGTTAATACGATTACAATGTTTGAAAAGTAAATAGTATTAATTTTATATTACACTTAATTTAATAAAAATATTAAATAATTGTTAATAAAATTAAATTTATGAAAACTTTCGCATAAATTCTAAATATATTCTATTTAATATCTAAATAAATCCTATTCAGATTTGTTATGCAAGGATCTAATTTTATCAGCAACTTATATAAATACAAGAATTATTTAGTATTTCCACAAAAATATTATATCAATTGTAGTATTTAAGCCTAAGTATTAAAATATTTATTAGGCTATACAATAGTAAAAAATTTATGCTTTTTCTTGCGATAAATTTTAAAGTCGGCTTTGTATAAAAATAACTTTTCAAATTAATTTATGCAAAGTTTTTAATTATCAAAAATGAAAATAATTTGTCAATTTAGAATAAAATAAATAAATCTTTATAATTTTAAACTAAAATTTTTTTATAGTTTCTAATTTAGAACGAATATCTTGCAGAATATTTGTATTCGGTTGAGTTTGGTGTTTAAAATATTTTATTTTTCTTCTAACTTTTAATAATTAGTTTTTATTATACTGTGTCTTAAAAACTGAATAAGAGCAAATAAATTCAAAAATTTCATATAATAAACCATCAAAAAATAATATATATAGGCTAAGTTTTGCAAATCTGTATAAAACACGATTAGCCTATAGATTTCTGTGAATAGAATCAAAATTTCTATTACTAAGTTCAATAGTAATGGAAATTCGATAATTTCAAAACTGCTAGTAATAAATAACTGAATTAAATTATACTGTATTTTAAATATTCTAAATTTGGTATGTTTAAACAGAGCCTAAAAGAGAAGAGGTAAGATCGGACTCATTACATAGGCTACCGAGGCTTTATCCTTTTCTGAAAGCGATAAAAACATATTAATAAAATCAATAAAATAAACCAAAAACAGATTTTTTTCACCATTCATCAAATAAGACTTTAATTTATATCATTTTCCTGTATATTTTTAACATAGACTAAATTTTGGGCACCTCTTTGTATTCGAATCCGAGCTAAATGGTTCAGTTGGCTCCGTGTTTAAGCATAGTTAACATAGACTAACTATTCTAAACTATATGTATTTTAGTTCAAAGTATTTTTCTTTTAATAATTTTTGATTTATTGATTAGAAGGTAAATAAGTTAACGATCATAAATAAATTGAAATTAATAAATTAATTTTATTAATGAGCATTATGGAAAAACAAATCCCATATATAGTAGCTTAATAATATTAAGCAGATACTTGCATGTACGTTCTCTGCGACCGTCCGTGAAAATAAATAATTGAAGACAAATAATTACATCAGTAAATTTATATTTAATTTTTTAATTTTTTTTAGGTGTCGAGGGCCGAAATCGGCCAACCCGTAATAAAAATTTAAGACAGACAAAGCTTTCGATAATCGAGGGTGTAAGGTTACATATCTCAATCACTATATTATAATTTGTAGAATTTTTTATTCGATCCTAGGGTGGCAAGTGCCCCATTTGCTCCTTCTGCAGACGTTGAAATGATTATATTAGCCTAAATTTTGCATTTGTACGAGCAACATCAAACAATTCTAAAAAAAAAAAAAAAAAAAATTATTAATAAAAGTGCTTTTTAAAATTATTAACAGGTTACATTACTCCACTTTATATCATTACCAATAATATGAGGTATTTTTTTATAGAGTTAGAGTCTATAGAGTTATAAAGAACACTTCGTATTAAATTATATTATAGAACAATTGCTCAGAGATCAAATGGCGCCCAAGCCTTATCTTTTTAAAATTCGAAAATATTAAAAACGCAAAACATCATGTAAAAGCATTTATATTTTTTAAATAATAAAAAGATATATAGCTTTTTCCCAAGCTACACAAAAAATGCAATGGAATAAATAATTTTTAACAAATATTCCTTGAAAGCCTGAACCAAATGGTTTTGGTAGCCTCGTATGATAAGACTTGTCGTTAAATAATCTTTAATTCTACTTTATATTATTCATTAATCCATGTTTTTTACTTTAATTTCTTAATTATCATCAATAAAATCAAATATTGATTGAAATAATAAATATTTTTTTTATATAATACAAAATTTTATGGACGAAAAGTATGAAAATCTAGACTACTTGTACAGTAGATATCTCGGTTTATAAGTCTTATCTACAGATAAAGAAATAAGGTAAAGTAAGCTTAATTTAGAATTATAATTAGATAAGCAACAAAAATTTCAGAATTCGTGAACAAATAATACGCATCTGTTTAACTGATTTAAGTTGAAAAATTATTTTAATACATTATCCTAAATAATAATTTTCCTTTGATTGTAATAATTAATTGGAAGCGTCAATAGAAATAATAGAAGCTATCCATAAGTCATCTAACACCAAAATTCAACATTTTATACTCTTTGTAACACACAATGACACATTTATAATTCTTTGTAATGGTTTCAAAATGATCTTTCAAAGTAATTGGCGTTTTAATTTGTTCCTATTATCCTCAATTGTTATGAAATCTGAAAACTAAAGACATTTATTCATTTATAAACTAATGGAATTTTAGGTAACAATCAATATTCGATAAATGTTTGAATTTTAAAAAATTTTAATGAATTTTTAGTGATGATATCATCAATAGAGATTTTCCTAGCATAATCGCGAAATCTGAACCTTACAGATTTCTACTTAGATTTTTTTTTAAAAAAATAAAATAAAATAAAAAGAAAAGGCTGCTTCTGACATTCTGACAGATATCACCAGCATTCAGAAAAGAGAAACCCAGGTGATTAGGTCTGACAGTACAGTATGTAAGAACACAAACTTATAGGGTATCTGGATGGGGCGTTTCCTCAGTAAGGTCACATAAGTGATAAGAAACTGAAGAAAGGAGCTTAAGACGACACAAATGCTCACGCAAGTGACAGAAACATGTCACTATGTCGATAATCAAACGAACTTGATCTATATTAAATCGAGAAGTTCTCTGTAAAGAAAGATAAAGCGCAGAAGCCTTGCCAAATATTGTTCGAAAGTTTTCTTCCAATGCAATGATTCAAATGACGGAAGGAAGTTTATCTTGTAATAGTCCTTAACACTATATTATAATAGTGGTTTCGGATCTAGTAAAAGCGTGTGGAGTATAATAATAGAATATTTAATAGTTGACGTGGCAGTAAAAAAA